CACGCTGGGCGTGGACCGCGACTCGGCCGAGCTGGCCGACCTGTTCGACGAGCAGGACGCCGCCGTCAAGTGGATGATTGAGCGCGTCATCGCCGTCGCCCGCCGCGCGGGCCGCAAGATCGGCCTCTGCGGCCAGGCCCCCAGCAACCACCCCGAGTTCGCCGCTTTTCTCGTGAGGTGTGGCATCAGTTCCGTCTCCGTCAGCCCGGACAGTTTCCTCGAGGTCAAGAAGCACGTCATTGCGAGTGAAAAGGCCGCCGCGGCGGCGGGAGAGGCAAAAACGAATGGTGTGAGTGCGTGATTTCACGGAGGGGGAGAAATAGGGATTGTAAATCTGGGTATTGTTGATCTCTTTTGATGCGCCTTTGTCTTGGGACTTGGGTTTTTATGACCTACTTGTGTGTAATCATACCATGTACTTGCATGTTTGCCCTCCTCAGGACTTTGTCGTTGTAGTAAAAGGAAGAGGAAGGGCTTCTGAAAAGTAAAAAAGAAAGAGTTCGATCAAATTCAATGACGGATCCGAAATGTGGTTGAAGGAGCGGGTAGAAGAGAAACTGAATGTGCTGTCTGAGATTGGACGACAAAAATAAAGAAAATGTTTTATCTTAATTTCGTCGCTGAAGTAAATGCAGAAGTGTGTAAGTAATAAGGGAGGGAGAGGAGAGTGAGAGAGAAAAGGCCGTTTTGTCAGAGTCAGAGTCAGTGTTAGATTTGTACTTTATCGCTTGAACTTCCAACCTATTCAACCCATCCCTTTTGGTCACCCATCACCGCGTGCCCTTTTACCCTTTTTGTAGACCCAACAAGCAGACGTAGAAGTAGACGTACTTGTACACGTAAGCAGGTAAGTCATGATCCTCTTTGTCTCTCCCCCTCCGCGAATACAATTCTTTAGGGGGCCCAAATGGCCAGATCACTCCCACTCCTACTCCCACAATCCCACAAACATAAACTCAACCCTCTCAGACCTGAACCACCCGAACCGGTCCAACAAAATACTTTCTCAACGCCGTTTCTTTTCTCGTGACAGATCCCTTTTCTCCTTGAGATTACGGAGCCAATAACTTCTGGGTCGCCTCCCGCACGATCTTGCCGGACTCGGCCAACTTGGCCTTCTCCTCTGCGGACAGGACCAGCGGGAGCGGCTTGACGACGCCGTGCCTCCCCAGGACGACGGGCAAGCTCACGCAGCAGCCCAGGTCGGGCTGAAAGTGGCTGACGGCGCGGACGTCGCGGCGGTCAAAGATGATGGACGAGCACAGGCTGGAGACGACCGAGGCGATGCCAAAGGCGATGACGCCCTTTGTGTCGACGATGCGTTGACCCTCGCGCTTGCATTCGTCGGCGAGTTCCTCCCTGTCAAAGGCCTGAGGGGGAAGTGCTTCGGCGATGGGCACCCCGTCGATCGAGGCGTGCGACCACGCCACGAATTGCGAGTCGCCGTGCTCGCCGAGAACGTAGGCGTTGATCGGACCAGGTGCAATCTGTATGTTCAGTCAGAGTGGGTTAGAACTTGTCGTGAGAGGACGAAACGAAGGGAAGAGGGACGGACCTCGAACTTATCGGCCAGCATTCGCCGAAGTCGAACCGTGTCTACAAAGGTTCCTGAGCCTATCACTTGCGATGGTGGGAGGCCCGACAGTTTCAGGGCCAGCGTCGTGAGCACGTCCACGGGGTGCGACACGACGAGGAGGATGAGGTCGGAGCGGATCGGTCTTAACGAGTCGATGATCCTCTCGAGAATGGCCGTGTTTCTCTCTATCCGCTGAAGCGACGTCTCGCCTGGTTTGCGCACAAAGTCCGTCAGTCAATCTTTGTTCCGCTCCACAGCCATAACCGAAACAGGGGCAACATACCTCTCGACCTCTTCGACCCGGCAGTGACGACCACAATGTCACATTCGCCCGCCTCCTTGAGAGTCCCCGCTCGAACTCGTGTGGTGCTGTCCTCGGCGTAGCACGCGTCCGACAGGTCACGTACCTGACCGTCTCGCTTTTCCGGCTTCACGTCGACCAGCAGCAGCTCGCTGTAGAGAGAGCCTCGGAGGAGGGCAAACGCTGTAGCAGCGCCGACCTCTCCGGCTCCAACGATGGCAATGCGAGCAGTCATGTTGTAGTGTTGGCAAATGTATCCTTTCAACAAGGTTTCGATACCATCGTCATGTCTAACAGAGGTCGGCCCAGGTTGGTTTTATAGAATCTCGCAAAAGGCAGTTGCTTGCATTACAAGTATGCATTAGAAAAAAGTGGTGTGTTGGTGGCGTGAGGTTGGGTGCATTGGCGGGCATGGCGGGCGGGCCAAGGGATGTCCGACTTGTCACATGTTGGACATGGGCGTCGGAGAATTCTGCGCTCCGGTGAGGTTTTATGGCGGCCGTTGTAAGAATTCTATAGAGCGAGCGAGGTGCTTCAGACTCGCCGCCGGAAACAAAAGGGCGGTTGAAGCTGATATTGATAGAGACGCGGGAGAGTCACTCATTACGTCCCTGCGGAAAGGGAAAAGCCTCCTTGGCACCGCAGCCTCGCCAGTCCAGCCTCGTCATACCTTGGCCATACGACGTACATCAGTGTGGTGTTTGCTCCTTATCTAAAGTTGACGAGCAATATGAGGCTGTCAAGGCTTTAGACTAACCTGGTTACGCCCTATGAAAGACATGTAGGTGGTCCCCCTATTTTGGCTTAACGAGTAGTTGGAGACAATCGTATAAGTGGGCGCCCTACCCCAGTATGGAGCCAAACATATTTCAAGTCCATCCTCTCCTCTTCACCAGTTCTTCCAACAAGATTTCCACAGAGCCATATTTGAGAGCAGCACAATGACCAGCCCGAATCTCGAGGTTGGAATAGAACTCCAGAATCCTCCTCCTCTACAACCGGAGCCGCAACCAGTTCAGCCTTCAAAGCTGTAGGTCGTCCATTGTTCAGAATCCAATTCATGGGAGAGTCAGAGCTGATCTTCTTAACCCAGACAACATGTTCTGATAGTCGTCGCCTCTACTACACTCATTTTCACGGTGTGCGGCATCGGCTTCTCCTTTGGCGTCTACCAAGATGTCTACCAAGGGCTCTCTCACGACCCTTCATCTCCATTCTACGGCTCGTCCCCTGCCATGATTGACCTGATCGGCACACTCGCCATTTCCCTCATGACAATTGGTGCCCCCTACGCGACAGCCTGGACCAAGCAATTCCCTCCGCAGTTCGTCATCGGCGCCGGAGGGGTGGTGTTTTCTCTCGCATTGCTTTTGGCCTCGTTCAGTCGACGCATGTGGGAGGTTCAGCTCACGCAGGGCTTTCTCTGCGGCATAGGGACCTGTCTGACGTATATGCCCGCCGTGACGGTGGCTCCGACCTGGTTCACCGCCCGTCGCGGCCTCGCCATGGGTATCATCCTCTCGGGGACTGGCATTGGAGGCGTCGTCTGGGCTCCCGTCTTGCACGGCTTGATTGTCAGAACGGGCTTCCGCAACTCTCTACGAATATCGGCGGCCGTTGCCTTTGTCCTCGTCAGTGCCGCCGCTCCTGTCATGCGGTGGGACGCTGCGGCAGCGCAACGGTTCAGAGCAGAAGCTCGACGTTCGTCAGGTATCGTTGGACTGTTCAGGATCCCTTTGGTGGACTATCGCATTGCTCGGTCACGCACGTTTCTCGCGCAAGGGTTGGGTGCTGCACTACAATCTGCGGCGTACTACACGCCGGTGTTTTTCTTTGCCTCGTACGCGAGAACACTGGGCTACTCGTCCGCCACGGCGTCGAACTTCATCGCCTTGTCCAACGCTGCCAACGCGGTGGGAAAGATCATCATCGGACACGCCGCAGACAGGATCGGCCGGCTCAACGCATTGTTTCTGACGACGGCCATTTCGGCGATTGCTGCTCTGGGTCTGTGGATTCCCTCGTCTCTCTCCTCGAGCCAATCCGACAGCCGCAACTTGTTCATCTCCTTCACGGTGCTCTACGGCGTTTTCGCGTCTGCATACGTCTCACTCTTCCCCACCTCTCTCGTCGAGCTTTTTGGAGTCCAACATTTCGCCTCGGTGAATGGCTTTCTCTACATGGTGCGAGGACTGGCCACCATGATCGGCACCCCTGTCGCCGGTGCACTTATTCGGGGCGCAACTCACGAAAAAGGGCCCGCGCCGTATCAGAACACCACCATATTGGTGGGGGTATTGTTAGCGACTGCCACCATTGCCGTGTTCTGGGTCAGGCTGGAGGCCGCGGTCAGCAATTTGCGACCAGGAGGGACGAGGTGGAAGCTGTGAAGACGTACGAAGCAAAGGTTGGTTAGCAAGTCTCTGTACGAGCCTCGGTCGCCGATCTTCGGATTCAGCACGCCGTTTGCGGAGTACCTCCTAGGAACTAGATGGAGAGAATTAGTTCGTAAAATTAGAACTTGGGACTCGGAAATGCTCCTTATCTGAACGCATCCGACGATTCCCGCCTCGCCGCCTCGCTTCGCCCAAGAGCCAATCCGCAGCCAGGCAAGTCCAGCATCCCGCATTTGATCTCCCCCCGCACTTCTTTAACGACCACCACTAGCAAGGCATTCAATTCAAATTAAAACACCCCTGTCGATACATACAGTGCCATGAGTACCCGCGACTGCTACTGCCACCCTCCTGCCTCAAGTAGTCCTCGTCCACTATCCAATATCCATTATACGAAACCACATCTGTCTATCGCTCGATAGCCATAAAGACACAAGTCTCTCAGATAAAAATCAGACCAGACCAGATTAGATAGAGGAGATTAGATTGAGATGGCAGTCTACCGCTGTCAAATCTGCTCAAAGCCCTTTAAGAGGAACGAGCACTTGACCCGGCACAAGAGGAGCCACTACCCCGATCGACCGTTCACATGTCCGTTGTGTTTGAGGTCGTTTACAAGACAGTAAGTAAGAAAGAGTCGTTACGGTCCTTTCTTTTTTTTTTTTTTTTTTTTTTTTGGTTTTTTGGTAGCGTGTAGCAGAATCCGGGAGTCGGTGCGCTCCGTGATATGGGATGGTGTGGAACTTGCAAGAAAAGAGCTGACTCTTGTGTCTTCTCTGCCCTAAAAAAGGGATACTCTCCTGCGCCATATCTCGTCTCATGCGAAGCCGCCCGTACCACGCACTCCCTCTTCGAAGAGACCGACACATGAGGAACGATCCGGGTCGAGACACGAGCCCATCTCTCTCGACGATACCAGCCAGACCCAGGCCCAGACCCAGACCAGCGCCAGTACGACATCAGTACCCGCAACCCAGCAAAGCGACACCGCCCACGATGACCTCCTCAGCCCCTCAACCCTGCTTGCCTTTCCAGAGCAGAAGCAGACGAATCTCCCCGCGTTCGCCGACTCGAGTTCCGAAAATATCGACGTGCCTCCCGAACTCTACAGCAACGACCCCCCCGTGGTTGGGACAACACCAGACCTTCCTCGCCGAGAGCAAGGCCGCATCTTTGAGCTCGACCACCTCGACCCCTCGGAAGTCACGCGATTTTTCGGCGGCGCCGACGAATCCAGCCCTTTCACCGTGCACACCAGCGCGTCCTCGCCGATCCTTTCCCGGCACCAGCACCCGTACAAGCGCCCGTCTCCAGGGACGACAGAGTCACAGCAGCAAGAAGAACCCTTTGAGCTGCCCTCGGAGCTGTTCCACGGCACCGTCGATGTCCCCGCCAGGACGTGGCTGCGGGAGTTTTGTGCGGGGGATTGATGTATTTTGGGTTGAGGGTGATTTGCTAACTTCAAAATTTTCGGATATAGGATAGGGGGACCCTGATTGCTATATTATTATTTCCCACAAAGTGGTTCGAGGATCATGTATATGACTATCATGTACTATCATCTACGTCTGTACAATACAATAAGCCCAACTCGCCAAAAAAGGGGGGGATCGAAGACAGAGATTATTCTAGGTTCGTTTCATATTTCTCATAAAAGAACTACCATGATATAATATAATACACCGTTTATACACCGTGTATACTCTGCCTGATTTTGCATGTCCCAACCAGAGGATTTACCAAGACCAGGGAGGCCGTTCGTAATAAATAGAGGCCTACCAAGGGATGACATCTGTCGTTCCATATCAATAGCCCGTATACAAATGACCATATCGTATGTCCTGGTACCCAAGTACCGGTCTTCATCATACATTATCGACCAATTCAGCTGGCTAGGTCGATAGCAAGCCAGCCAAGTAGGTCCCCAGTATCTGGGTACCTAGATATCACGTCAAAATCATATAAGAATCTCCGCGCCAATCATAGACTCAATCCGCGCTTTGAGGCGAAACACCGCGTCCCGACTGAGTGGGATAGGGCCCCCAACGTCCTCGACGGGCATGTTGGGGAACCGCTGGACCTTCCAGGCCGAGGCGGCCGTGTCGGCGTACAGGCACGGGTACGCCTCGAAGAAGCCGTCGTCGAGCTTCTGCGTGTCGAACTCGTCGTACTCGAGGTCGTAGGCGCGCAGGAGGGCGCGCAAGCCCGGTGACCGCGGCACCGGTTTCTTCTCCAGGCCTGGCTCGGCAAGGGGGTTCGTCCCGTGCGCCTTCTCCAGACATACCAGGTCCCATACCCGGAACGAAGTTTTGTCGTGCACGTCGTCGTCATGGTCGTCGTCGTCGTCGTTGGTGGTCGTGGTGGTCGCCTCTTGCGTTTGGTGTTCGGATCGGAGTTGGTTGGAAGGAGGAGAAAGATGTGGAGGAGGTGGATCAAGAGGAGAAGACGGAGTATGAAGGAGAGGGGTTTTGGAGGAGTCGTCATCGTGGTCGTCGATTTTTCGACAGAGCGACGAAGGATAAGGAGTGGTGCGCAAGGACGGCTTTTTCCGCCGACCACGCCGTTTCCGGTGCGCGACCACATTGTGGATGGCCATCCGGAACAGCGCGTCCACGTCGATCTGGTCCTGGTACATGATCGCCATGTCCCGCACATCGGGCCACGGCATCCAGTCAATCATGGGCGAGTGAGGAACCGACAGCTGAGCCCGTGTCGGACGGTATGCGGGGGGGAGTTGGTTGTATGAACGCTGGCAGGGGAAATTGCGCCAGAGCTCGGCGTGGAGGAAGCCTCGGAAGGTGGCCTGTGTTTGTTTGAATTCCGATTGTCAGCAAACGGACATATCCCGTCCAGCACTGTTGTTGTTTTCCTGGGAAACACATACCGTCAAATTCCAGTACCCCTCTGCGGCGGGCCACGCCTCGCGAACCACCCACAGCACGCCTTCAGCAGTGATTGCGCGCTGCAGTTCGTTGCTGTCGATTCCGTTAGCATGCCTTGCCGAGAAAGACCGGGTGGTGCTTTTGATTCATTGTGTCCTGGGCATACGATCTCACCTGAGGAAACACCGATCGGAGGAACCACGAAGCAACTGTCTTAGCGCCATAATGTACGTGTCGAACTGCGACTTGGGCAGGCTGGTGTTGAAGCCCATGGCCAGGCTCAGGCTGGACAGTGGATGCGTGAAAGTGTGGTCGAACAGCGTGGCTCGATCCAGGCGCGCAAGGGCCCGCATGATGGCCTGTTGCGCTTCCTTCTGGGATCTATCGCACTCGTCGCGATGATTCGCGGTGGGGGTGCGTTCGGTGCGGTGCCGATGTTGAAGTCTGTTAGCGGTGCTTGTCCTCTGGCGATGGCGGGAGCGGTCACGTCTTGATATTTCCAGGGCAGGCAGCGGTGTGGGCCCGAAAACACCAGGTAGAGTTGCACTAGTCGTAGTGACTGTCGTTGTAGACGCTGGCGTCGAGAAGACATCATTGCTTGTTGTCAGGTTATCCAGATCCCAATCCGCTAACGGAGAATCCTGGCCTGCCCTAGATGCAAAGGGATGTTGTAGGACATCGCTCTCGGAAGACAATCGCGGACGCTTGAACGAAGAGCGTGTCTTGGCCGCGTCCGTTATAGTTGAATCCCATCCAGGTGCTACATGTTGGTGTCGCATAGGTATGTGGTATTCTTGACTCGGACGACGAAAGGGTGTATCTCCCGGTCGCGAAACGCGCCGCGGGAGTTGTTCGGTAGGGGCCTTCTCCGGTACATCGTCGTGCTCGAGATAGTACAGACTCTGAGAGTCATCTAGAACCCATTGTCCAGGCATGTTTCTCCGGTAGCTTTTGTGATCGAGTGCGTGAGGTGTCGGTTGTGGCTTCTGGTAGCTGGGAGGGTTGCTTGACAATTGCCAGTCAGATACATTCTTAGATGCCCATGTAAATCATCACCTGCACAGCTTCAAAGTCGTGCTCTATAGGTCTTTTGCGAATGCTCAAACGAAGACTAGAATAGGTAGTAGGAAGGGTGGCGGAGGAGCGGAGGGGCGGAAGCAAAAGAGCCAGGATTTGGCGCCAAGACCCACGCCATCTTCTGGTGCGGGGTCACGGGGTCCCCAGAAACTGCTGCTCTGTTTATTCACGAGGATTTCTATTGGCTACATATCTCTGTATAGATAGAACTACCCCAGCCTCGACATGGACGCATCTGGACGACATACCCAGGTACCTCGCTCATACCCATCGACACCCTTTGGCACCAGCCGGGGGAAGAACACATGAGCCTTACAGCGTTCGATCGCGTGGTCGTCAATTATGACAGTGCCACAGTCGCACTGTCTTGTTCCGGCTGAACTCGGCCCATCGAATACAATCGCATGAATACCTGCTCTTTGTTGATATCAGCTTATGTTCCAGTTTAGATGTCACGGAAGTGCCTACTCAACCACAATAACGGGCCTGCGCTGCTTTGAAGCCTCTCGAGGTCGTTTTCTGCATTTTACATGTAGTGCTTCAGAAGCTCGTCGATCTTCACAGATAAGTCACCTTCGTCCAGCACCGTTCTTCCGATCCGAACAACATGCTTGAATAGCTGCAGAGCGTCGCTTCGCCGGTTGAGTTTCCTGAGGACAAGGACCAGCATCATCTCGGAAATGAGTCGTCGTGGATTCTCCTCGGCGAGTGTTCGGCGCCTGACGTCGACCACCTGGTCCAACAATACCAAGGCCTCGTTGAATTGTCCGTTAGTCATGTATGCGTGCCCTAGCTCAGCCATCGAATCCAGTCGAAATGGATCTTCCGGCGCGAGCGTGCGCTTGTAAGTGCTGACGACATCTTCTAATAACGCCACTGCTTCGTTGAGTTGTCCGCGCTCTCGGTACGCACTTCCTAGCTCATGCATCGAGGCCAGTCGAGCTGGATGTTCGTCGGTGAGTGTGCGCCTCCATGTCTCGACCACATGTTCTAACAAGGGGATTGCTTTATCGGGTTGTCGGTCGAGCAGGTACAATGTCGCCAGCGCATGCATCGGATACAGTCGAGCTGGATGACCCGCCACTATTGAGCGACTGCTAATCTCGACCACCTTTTCTAGCAAGGACAATGCTTCTTGAGCTCGTCCTGCACCATAGTACACTGTCGCCAGCGTATGCATCGAAGCCAGTCGGCTAGGATCTGTCTCCGGGCGGGTGTGGAGCTCTATCTCGACCACCTGTTCCAGCAATGTCAATGCTTCCATAACTCGCACGTCACCTTTATATGCCGACGCAAGCGCGTACATTGAATCTAGTCGACTAGGATCCTCCTTAGCAAGTGTGCCCGTCTTCATCTCCACCACCTGCGTCAGGAGTGCTATTGCCTCGTCAAATCCACCAGACGAGATCAAGTTCGCCGCCTTGAGTTCGTATATGTCCACCCACTGCTCATTCACCTTCGAAGGGTCTAGATTCAAGTGTGTGAACAACCTCTCTACCATCAAAGCGGGATGTTTATGATCTCCCAAAACAACTAACATCATCCCAATCCGCAACAAGACCTCTACCATCAATGAGGCCGGGTCCCCACCAAATATGGACTGCATGGGCCACAATATGACAGCCTGGAGATGGGCTTGCAGCCGCCGCGCTCTCATGGTCCAGAGGTTGTTGTCAACGGAGACTACGGCGATGAGAGAACTCATCTTTAGCAGGATGCGTGCCGTTGCTGGTCATCCTGGCGATCTCGCGCCCAGGCATGAACTAGGGGGTGCATGGAAACGCTCCTGTCACCTTCGTCAGACTCCTCGACCGAGACAAGGCCGAATGCTTTCAGCATCTGCAAGGCTTCCATGAGGCGAAAGGGATCCCAGTCTTCTCCACCAACTTGCATCAATAATGGAAAACGAGAGACATGCCACTTTGTCAGCGATCGGCGCTGGTCACTTCGGTTACATGCATTTTTGGAGATGAAGTGTGCAGCCTTCCAGCCAACTCGAAATAGCTCAATGGGGATAGGATTCGGCCCACATACTGCCAGCATGGGCAGCAGTTCGAGCGCGTCGTGGGCTGAAACCTCCGAGATTGAACGAAGGGTTTCGATCGAGGCCTCGAAGGCTGTGTAGACGTCGCAGTACCGAGACCGAGCCTGCATGGGACGGAAGGTGAGTAGTTTTTTCCTTTGACGTGCGTACACTTCAGGGTATTCGGCGAGGGTGCAGTGGCCACGTGCGACATATGTTCCGGCTTGAATAAGCGCGAGAGGGTGCAAATGAAGCAGCTCGGCCACCTTGTTTGCATCGGCTGTCAGATTCGGTCGTCCATCCCCCTGCAAGCGTGCCGCTTTTAACAAGAGTTCTCGGGCATCAGCAACAGGAAGGCCTTCTAGATCAATGTGCCGGGCAGTCGCATATTGCTGGAACTCGTGATTGCGCGACGTTAGCACCACTACGCCTGACGGCCCAGGTGGGAAATACTCGGAGTAGTCGATGACCGGGTCGTCAGCATTGTCCAGCACCAAGATCCATGGTTGCTGAACGTTGGCCAACCCTTGCCGCCCGTGCTCCCATGTCTGTGCGGAAGGGTTTACACGCTTCGCGATGTCCAAGAAACCGTTCTCCGCTAAAGACTTGGTGCTGACGTCGACCCAAAAGATTCCCCAAAATCTGGCCGTAGGGAGTGAGACACTTAGTGGACCGTAGGGATGCTGCAAATAACAAGTGCACTTACAGTGTACGGACGCGCTGGGCCAGTTGCAAGCAGATCTCGCTCTTACCCTGGCCACCCATAGCAGAAATGACAATCCTGCATTGAGTCTTCGGCTCAGGATTCTTGATAGCCTCGCGCACGATGGTATCCAACTCTTGGATCACATCATTTCGTCCGACAAACAATGTGTTGGGAGAGCGAGTGATGGTCCAGTGCATGGGATGTGTGATTAAGACGGACCCTAGAGAGATCAGCATCTTCTGTAAAGTTGTAACAGAACTCACCTCGGTGTGTCTGTTCGTCTGGATCCCGAGGCGGGCTTTGCACGCTTCTCCATTCCTCCAGCATTGCCTTGGTGCAAGCGGCTGCTGTAGCAGCCGCGTAGGCTTGCCATTGTTTGTTTTTGTGGCTATCAGCATAGTCACACACACCTTTGATGGCAATTGTAGGGACGTATTCCCAACTACCTGCACTCTCCATCTCAAACCCAAGAACCTTCTCCTCAGCCACAACACGATCTCGGTGCATACCACTCTTCATGACGGTGTTGCTGCTCGCTATGCGACCTGCATGAATGGCCGGTTTCCTGGCATCTTGGATAGCTGCAGGTGTCATTTGTCGCCTACCCGGCGATACGCCTAGGGCTCGTTGAAGACGTGTACGGCCGTCAACAAGGTCACTCTCACAACCCAAAGCCGTACAAGAACTCTGGAGGGCAGCCTCGCACACACCGTCGTCTGGTTCCACACAATGGCCACAAGTACTGCAGTTTTGTGTTCGGTGCTTGTGTCGATAGTCAGCAGGATAGAGTCTGTCATTTTCTGGTCCAGGATAGACGAATCCCGAAAACCCCTTTGTGGCGGAGATGTGGGCGGAGAAGATGGCAATCTTCTCCCGAAGCCTCTCTTGGACTAGATGGCCTGAAGTCTTCCCGATATATGCTCGAATTTCTGGATTCGCCCGCCCCAGAGTATCGTCGATCTCTTTCTTCCTGACGAATGTGTTTGGGTATTGCCTGCCAAAATCGATCTGAATCACCGACATGCTGACGATGACATCGCCTAACAGGATCTCGGTACCATCAGGAGCTTTTGGGGCGCCGCCACAAATACCAGCTGTGATGGCAAGCCTGATTCCTCTAAAGCTGGTGCAAAGGTTTGCGGCTACTGCCGCTGAACTGGCGATACCCATACTTGGCATATAGGTCAGCACCACATGTTGATTCCCCAGCCGTCCGGTGGTGTAGGCATTCAAATCTCCGGCAGCCTTGCCGTACGAAAAGCCATCGGTCTCATATTCTTCTTCTAGAAGCGCCTCCACAGCATTCCGCTCCAGAACCAAGGCACAGATGATGGCGATCTCGAAGTCATCGCGGCTACGGGGCCGAGGGGGTCGCACATCAGGGTTCATATCGACATCTGGGGGCAGTCAGACAGGGTGGAGGTCGGCTCGGTCAGCACGAGGATCTGAATAAATATCGCGCTCAATGATGACAGAACGATTCGAAGTGAAGTTCAGCGCAGGCATCATTGACGCTCAGCCTCATGGTGCGTACTCGTAAGTTGTGTTGGGTCGTCCACCAATGATTGCCTGCTGTTCTCCAGGTCGCTAGCGAAGCACAATTACAGCCTAGTGCCGGCATCCTTGTCCACCGGCATGCGGTGTAGAGAGAAGTGAGCGGCATGGTCTGGCAACACAATGCAGAGAGCCTTCAATGCAGCTGAGGTGGCACTGGTGGCTTCTCTACCAACGGTGAACAACATGTACTCGGGACAAGCAAAGGCTCGGAGAAAAGTTAGACCGCCTGACCGCCAACAAAATCCCCTGAAAGAACGTCATCTTGGACACAAGAACCACCAGGACCAAATCAGCTTCATGATGATGTTTCTTTCCAGCGTCACACATAGCGCGAATCAGCAACAACAACACCCCACAATACCCCATTACAATTCCCGATGACCTTACATACTAGTGTTGGCAGTGTTGTCTATGACACCCGCGAGTGCGAACAAACCTCCCGCCTTGAAGCGCAGGCAGTGAATTCCTCCTTCAGATTGTACAGTATCCGATCACACGATCTAGTCATCACCCCAAACATGACCAACCTCTGTAATCAAAGGGAAGGGCCACCCACAAACAAATGCCATCATATCCTGCGGCCTTGAAACCCCGGATTTGCTGCCTAGCATTTCCCCCCTGATCCGGTGCCGCAACCGAGAGTTCGTTACCCCACAAGTCGTTCTCATTGGACATCGAGATCCACGAGGGCTCTTACATGGCTGGTCAAGACTGGTTACACTGTCGTCGTGGAACATATATATGCTTAAGACCTTCCTGACGCATATCATGTCTCAGATCCATCCTACAGGCCATACGCTTTCGACGAGCAGACCTGTGAAGGTCATAATTGATTCTTTATTGTGTGCTCTTTGAACTCACGCCGAAACTCCACCGCTATGGCACAAGGATCGACAGCGTCAGGTCCCCAGTCTGAGGTCGATGTCCTCATCATCGGGGCAGGCCCAGCAGGCCTGATGATGGCCAACTGGATGAGTCGGTGTGGAATCCGGACGAGGATAGTGGACAAAAGAGGGACCAAGGTGGGTGAATAACATGCTGGTTCAAACCATTTACTTCTACTTGATCAAGAATACCAACCAAAAAGGTAGATTTTCAACGGTCAAGCAGATGGACTTCAATGCCGGACACTCGAGATCTTTGACAGCTTCGATTTCGCACATCGCGCTTGGATAGAGTCAAACCACATGCTCGAAATCTGCCTCTGGAACCCCGACCCAAAGACCGGGGTCATCCACCGCTCCGATCGTATCCCGGATACTATCCCAAACATCTCACGCTTCCAGCAAGTCGTCCTCCACCAGGGCCGCATTGAACGATTCTTCCTTGACTCCATTTCCGAACATAGCAAGAGAACACTTCAAAATGTGCCGGGTTGGGAGCAGGGTATTCAGGTCGAGCATGGCGTCATGCCGGTGTCATTTGAGTTTGACGAGAGTCTCGCCGAAGACAACGATGCATACCCGATCACCGTCAAGCTTCGACATCTCAGCGAGCTAGAAGCAACCCCCAAACAGGCCGCGACCAGTGTGAACGGTTCCAGCCTACAAGATGGGCTGTTTCGCAGCAACTTGTCGCCGGACGACACCCAAGAGCTGCTAGAGAGATCAAAGGCGCTACGGGAGAAGGAGGGCCGAGAGGAGACGATCAAAGCCAAATACATGCTCGGTGCGGACGGCGCACACAGCTGGGTCCGAAACCAGCTCGGCTTCAAACTGCAGGGCGAGTCCACCGACTATATCTGGGGAGTGCTCGACATTATCCCCATCACCGACTTCCCCGACATCCGGATGCGGTGTGCCATTCACAGTGAGAACAGTGGGAGTGTGATGGTGATCCCACGAGAGAACAAGCTGGTCAGACTCTACATCCAACTGACGACTATGGAGAATGCAGGAGGTGGCAAGAGGGCGGATCGGAGCAAAATCAGCCCAGACACGATTCTCGCCAGTGCACAGAGGATAATGAAACCTTACAAGATTGACTACCGATACTGCGACTGGTGGACGGCATATCAAATTGGACAACGTGTTGGTGACAGCTTCAGCTTGAAGGAAAGGGTCTTTTTAGCGGGCGACGCCGTCCACACTCACAGTCCAAAGGTACTCCTGCGCCGAAACCACCACCAGTATTGTGGCTCTGAAACTAACTGCATTCATAGGCCGGCCAAGGCATGAACGTCAGTATGCAAGATGGTAAGCATGACTCTATTCCTTTTGGTGAAATGTCTCGACTGATCAACTTGCCTCAGCGTTCAATCTCGGATGGAAAGTCGCCAGTGTTGTCAAGGGCACCAGCAACCGAACCATCCTCAAGACATACCAGTCGGAGCGGCGGAGGATAGCGAAGGACCTGATCGACTTCGACCATCGCTTCTCCCGACTCTTCTCGGGCCGTCCAGCCAAGGACGTGCTGGACGAAGAAGGCATCTCGATGGAGGAGTTCAAGAACGCGTTTGAAAAGGGAAACCTCTTCGCTAGCGGCGTGGCCGTTGACTACGGCGCGAGCATTATCGTGGCCAAGTCCGGCGACAGCACCGAGCAAGGCGATGGCACAGAGGTGCTGGGCGAGCAGACGTTGCGTGTCATCAGTACCCAGGACCTGGCAGCCGGTGTCCAGGTGGGCATGCGCATGCCGTCGTTTAAGGTGCTCAACCAGGCGGACGCGCGGCCATGGCACTTTCAGGAACTGCTGAAAAGCAATGGCACGTGGCGCCTGGTGGTGTTTGCAGGGGACATCGTCGGGAATCCGGGCCAAAAGGCACGACTCGATGCGCTAGGCGAGAAGCTGGGTTCCGCGACGTCGTTCCTGAAGCGCTTCACACCCCCTGGAAGCCGGTACGACTCGGTGATTGAGGTACTCTCGGTACACTCGTCCAAAAGGAAGGATGTGACCATCTTTGACTTCCCAGCGGCGTTCCGCCCCTGGGATGACCGCGACGGCTGGGACTACTGGAAGATCCACGTCGACGACGTCAGCTACCACGAGGGCTACGGCGATGCCTACACCCACTACGGAGTCGACCGCGCCCGCGGCTGTGCTGTCATCCTACGACCCGACCAGTACGTCAGCTGGGTCGGCGCCATGGACGACTACGACAGCATGGACAAGTTCTTCAGCGGGTTCATGGTCGAGCAGCCTCAACGAGCCACACTGGAGACAACCGAGATGGTGGATTCCAAGGACATCAGTCGTGTGTCACTAAAGGACGCAGACGACGCGGGGGATCAGGCTACGAATGGCGCAGTGGTCGGCATGGCGGCAGCATGATATTATTTGTCTTTTTTTTTAATTCCTCTTGTCCTTCCACATCTTCATGATATCCTCCGCTTTTTCTAGTGTAGGGCTATCGAAAATACAACCAATTCCCCTTCATTCCCGTCTTGCCCAAATACCAATAATCAATAGGGTCTTGTCAGTGGATTGGAAACCAAGGTCGTCGTAGTCTTTTGACCCAGCGGAGGGGGATATTCTTTCTCGTATGTCGAAACGCAGCCTTGTCCAGCCTCGCTCAGCCTCGCTCAGCCTTGTGGATGAGTATTGAGTATGTTAATGTACGAGGTACCGAGTACCGACGCCGCTGTTCAACAAGGTATATACCACATATCAACGCCTGCATGCCTTGACTGCTTGACTACTTGACTGCTTAATAGCTCGATTGATATGTCTATCATTCCCTCTTCTCGTGGAGTCCTGTCTGATCTAGGGGGGCGTCCAATCGCTTACATACAAACAGTACTCGGTAGTGGTACATACCAGCCTCTCCTTCTTCCTCTACAACCACTTCTCACATACGGGGAAACCCCCTACTATTCAGAGGAAAAATCTATATCCCCGCCGAACAGACCCTCCCCCGCTCTCTCGCCACCTTGATGAGGTCTCTAATAGTCTCTGATGTCCGGGGCCTCTTCTGATCCCCCGTTTTCGGCCTCGACTCCGCCCCTTCGGCCAGCCACCCCGAAACCTGACCCGTGTTGGCTCCACACCGGTCCCTCCCACGCCCTGTTGTTTTTCGAATCGCTTGAAACCGCCTCTCCATGCAACTGTCAAAGACGAATAGCGAGCGAAAGGGCGACTAGTCAGGATAGGGTTCAAGCGGTCAGAGGCGAGAGAACATGGGGTACAGGATTGTCGCCGGACGATGTCGGCTGGAAAGGCGGGCTCCCGCCAAAGTCGGCAACTCTGGATTTCCTTTCAAACCCTGACCGACCGGACGGATCCTGTTCTTGTGTGGCACATTATTATTACGACGCGTCGCCGCGGCGGCGGCGGCGGCTGCGGCTCAGGAGTCCATGTGAAGGAAGGGGGCCAGCTCATATTCCCGCAAAATTCCCAGGTCACTCTTTACCATCACTCCTCATCGGTGAAATTTTCTTCACAGAGACCGGGTCTTTAAAGAGATCAGTCATTCTTTGCAATCTCAAGGAAACACAAAGGACGAAACCTAGTCGAGCTCTACACCCAGGATGCTGAGCAAACCACCGATTCGTATTGGCAATGTCTCAGGCGCCACGGGCGACCATCCGCATGCTATGAAGCGCATGGTTGAGTCGGGCGGCGTCGATGTAATCACCGGGGACTGGCTGTCTGAGATGAACATCGCCTGGAACGCCATCACAAGACGAGAGGTCGACCCTGACCTCAGCTACGAGAACGGCTTCTACCTTCAGCTGGAAGAATGCCTCGACCAGATCATGGAGCAGGATATCAAAGTGGCCACGAATGCAGGCGCCTTGAACACAATGAGTCTGTTCCGCAAGGTCCAAGCGCTCTGTGTGGAAAGAGGATACAAGGATACGGTGGTCGCCGCAGTTTTGGGCGACGATGTCTCGGACTTGGTCACTGATCCCAGCAAGAGGCGTTCTTTGCATTTCCCCCATCTCGATCACCAGGATCGGCTCCTTGACGAATGGTCCCTGGATCCTATCTGCGCCAACGCCTACATCGGCTGTCGTGGTATTGTCAAAGCCCTAGAAGCTGGAGCGAACATTGTCATCTGTGGGCGATGTACCGATGCTTCCCCCGTCATGGGAGCCGCCGCCTGGTATTTCGGCTGGCGCGAGGACCAGTACACCGAGTTAGCAGGCTCCTTACTCGCGGCGCACCTCATCGAATGTGGACCTTATGTTGTGGGAGCCAACTTCTCGGGCTTCAAAGACTTCCTACCAGAGTTAGTCGACCTAACATTCCCCGTCGCCGAAATCGACTCGACTGGCGGGTGTATCATCACCAAGTCCACTCAAGGAGGTGGCCACGTCACGCCCGAGACAGTCAAAGCGCAGTTGCTGTACGAGCTCCAAGGACACCTATATCTGAACCCGGACGTCGTCGCAGATCTGTCGCAGGTCCAGGTAGAGGCTCAAGCGGGCCAAAAAGATCGGGTTATGATCCATGGGGTCAAAGGCCTACCGCCGCCCTCCACGACAAAGGTCATGGTCGCTGCTCCAGGAGGATACCAGGCTGAAGCGACCTTTTACATCAACGGATTGGACGTGGAAGCCAAAGTGGCCATGATGCGTCAACAGTTGGACCACATTTTGAAGGGAAACAAGTTCAGTCGATTCAGCGTGGAGCAGTACGGCTCCCAAGTGGACAATCCGCGGTCGCAACAGGGAGGCACCGTGCAACTGCGAGTGTTTGCTCAAGCAAGGAACAAGGTCGATATCGAGGCTCCATCATTCAAGATTCCAATCTATGCCCTTCGCATGCAAAGTTATCCTGGTTACCACATGAACCTGGACTTTCGAACCATGGACCCCAGACCATTTATGGAGATCTTTCCCGCAGTCATGCCACTTTGCATCATCCATCATCGTGTTGTCCTCAGCACTGGGCGGCACATCAAGGTTGATCCACCGCAAAAGACGGTCGAGTACCCAGTGATGCGTCCCTCTTCTGACACGGAAGATCCTATCGATCTTCAATCTCTGGGACCAACTGAAAAGGCACCTTTAGGAAGCATTGTTCATGCGCGATCTGGCGACAAGGCCGACAATTCCAACATTGGCTTTTTTGTCCGCCACGATGATGAATACCCTTGGCTTAAAACCTACTTGACCGTTTCACGCTTGAAGGAATTGTTCGGTGACGACTGGCAGAAAGGGAATCCCGATCGACGGGTGGAGCGGGTTGAATTTCCCGGGATAAATGCAGTTCATTTGTGAGTCCTTCCGTCCTTTTTTTCTGCTCAGCACTTCTTCTGGTTGTACTAATTGAATTGATAGCCGAGTTCTCGACAACTTGAATGGTGGGATCGCGTCGTCGGACCGAATTGATGGGCTCGGAAAGGGCATTGCTGAATATCTCAGAAGCAGATCTGCCGAGATTCCCATACGCTTCCTCCAGAGAGGCTGGATTTGAAGTCACAGCCTATCGCAACACACTCGATAGATCGAAATACTGGCCAAAGTTATATTTGTCTTCTGCTTCAAGGAGTCATTACAGCTTCTCAAATGGATGTGCTACCCAAAGCAGCGAATGCGGTTGCTTGCTTCTAAAAGGCTGCGCTGCTAGGATCTTGGATGCCAAACAGCCAATTTTGCGAGAGCTGGGCAATGGCATCGCCACCGTACTGGTCATTACACCAACTTTGCAGGTCATCAAAGCAATCCTGCAGCGTGCTGTCGACTGCCATGTGGCTGAAACTCGCGGCCCATGTTTGATCGTTGTCTGGTGTGGGGAGGTCCATTGATATTGCCGAACCCAGTATGGGTACATTCTCCATTCGTTGCTGGTGAATGGGCTCAACGATGGGGGTCGCAGGCTTGCGAGTCTGTGTCTCTATAATGTCCGCGAGGACAGCGTCGCTCAAGCGGTCGAAAACGCGCGAACAACTCCGGGCTGTGCTCCAACGCTCGGAGACTGCAACAAGGACATTGGAACAAGCGCGGGTGTCATTGACGACTTTCTGAATGGTCGGACTGGAGTGAAGCTTTGCGCGGGGATAATTGGTCGGAGAAGGCTGACGCCAGGTGTTTTGGACGTGACACCGAAGTGCATAAATATACGAAATACCAGCCATGAACACCGCATGTAGAGTGACCCATGAGTAATTGATTTTGCGCGATCGATGAAGCTCGGCATAAAGATTGATAGCGGCCTGCGAAGATTCAAAAATGTGCTGGAGGGTCACGCTATTGCTGGATGCGTCCGAGAGGGTAGGTGATGGACGAAACAACATCAAGATTCCGTTGTGATAGAGCAGGTCGTACCATTCGCGTGATCGAAAGCTTGAGGTATTGGGCGGATCAAGTATTGCATCCAGAGCTAGGAAGGGCAAAGCGCTTGTTTCGCGGTGCCACGTCCTCAATTCGTGAGACAACTCCTCTCGAATCTTGAAGTAATCAATCGTGGTGCCGACAGGCCGCGTATCCCTATGGAGAGAGATTAAAATCTTCCCACAAATGAGGCGGTAGCGTACAATGTGATTGAAGAGAGCAAGACGTTGATCACTCAGTGGTGCCTCTATAGAGTCGTCAGAGAAGGCACCGTTGGCCGTCTCTGTAGCATCGGTCGCGTCAAGCTGCGGCAGTTCGGCATCAACGTCGTCCAGCTGAACAGCAAGAGGCCTTCCCAGGGTGAAACTGACGATGCGGTCCATGGCGACCACACACCAAAAGCATCGCCGCATCATCTCCATCTTTTCTCTCTGAACCTGTTCCGCGGGGACATTCCCACTTTGCGGCAAGACATAGGTTGACTTTTTGTGTAGTCCCAGTTCAAAACACATTCGTGCGGCAACTCCGACGAGATGCCATAGACTCGCCGACGTATCATACAGTGAGCTTCCCATCCGATATTGAGCAATGAGCAAGGTCGCCTGAAGTGACAAAATCCCACCAGCGCCAAGGACAACTGGAAGATGGGTGATGGCGCGATTATAGTGCGTTTCTGCGTCGGGCAAATTGAGCCAGTCGAATTTGTAGACCTGAGCCGTACCGATGGCGAGGATCATGTCGATGAAGAAGGATTCTACAGGATGGTAGACTGAGTAGGACTCCTCGCTGTAGATGGCCTCCAGCGCGGCATGTAGTGTTTTGGGATCGAGAAAAGGATAGCAAATATGATCATGGTTGCAGTATGCGATCAAGAGTCCTCGTGCAACATCTTGAGGTGGCCGACTGGAGGCATGGGCCGCAGGGGCGGCCCCTTTACCGAGCGCTGGCCTTTGCTCATGAGCACGTACCTCGGAGTTGGCGATAAGTGGAAAGGATGTCTGTAGATTCTTCTGTAAGAGGTTGGCGAGCAACAGGCCACTGGTTGAGCCTAGGAATTGACGGTCACCTCCTGCACTCAAAGACAGATATGACACCTGGTTGACCACTTCACCGCTGCTGCCCGAAGTATTCAACGCAGAGTCCACCGACATTGGTGGAGGATTCTCTGGAGATGGTTGGTTCTGGCTTCGGCTAAGCTGATTGACAAGATCTTTGTTCCTCGCTTCGAGCTGACGCACTCGCTGCTGTACTCGTTCCAGGTCTTGTCGACGAATGGTACCCTCCTTGGCGGTGTAAATACATGCTTTGTTGGCCTTGATGCATGAGGAGCAGGCTGGGCGGGTCTTGTCACATCTTGCTTTTCGACGGTGACAACGTTCGCAAGCTCCGGGTCGAGTTGATGGTTCGGGCGACATTGGACCAGATCAGGTTGATCTGGAATCTGGGTCTCGCTGGAAGGAAACCCCTTCGGACAGAGGCCAGAGTCGTCTCGATACCGCCGCAAATAAATGGAGTCAAGTTTACGATTAATCGTGGGTGGTTGTTGCAACACTAGCTGGATGCGGAAAGTTTTGCATTTGAACCCTCCAATATCCAGTGTTGGCTGCTCAGAAGGCTGTCGCCTGCAGTTCACAGGAAGTCCCCTGCTCTTTGCAAAAAGTTCCAGTCGAAAGGCAGTGACACCCTCAGGTCGAGTGGAGGGTTGGAGAGCTGAACAACAGAGTGAGAGAGTCCATTGCCACAAGGGCGGTCGTGGGGGATGAGTTCTCCTTGCATTGATGCGGCCCCGCTGGTCCTCGTCATCGACCGGTACTTGTACAAGCAAGCCCTATTTAGGTTGGTATATGCCATGCCGCCTCGGTAAGCATCTCGCTTATTGGTCATTGGCACAACTGCGGCATGCGGAGTTGCTAAGGGATGAGCGGCGTGGTTGAATGAAGCATTGTGGCGCACCCTAAGATTGGTCTTGGGTCTGTCGGTCATTCGCCGGTCCTACCACCAAGCAAATGTAAAGTAGGCTTTAGTTCTTGGACCAAATACAGGGAGCGCTTCATTTTTTTTTTCGTCTCCACCCCAAAGGTCTGCCAAACCCCGCGACTCGAGGCGGCTTGAATGAGGAGAATGGCTGATCAGGAGAGAACCACGGAGTTGAGCGTGGGGCATCCCGCATGGGATTCTCTTTGCTGGTTATGCGAGTATAGGTCTGCGGGCCGGATGCCGACGATGATCTGCCCATCGTAGACACAGGATAGGTAGGAAATTTCCGCCACCGAGGACTAACGCCGTGTGTGACAGTATTTAGACTGCTCGTCTTCGACTCTCCATGCGTCAAAAGCATTCATGCCGTTCTTCTGACAGCAGGTCGATATCAACATGGCGAAATACTTTGGATTGCGTGGTTCAAAGCTGAACGCAGCCCTGATCTGGGCTGTGATCATGCCCGCGTACATACTGTGAGTTACACTCGGCATGATCGAACAACCATCTGGATTCTGGCTGACCCCAACAGGTTTGGCTTCAACAATGGTGTGGGTGGAAGTCTCGTGGACTTGCCCAGCTGGGTTTCAGTGTTCCCTCGTATCGACACCGTCAACACAACCGGTTCCAAAAAGACAGAAAACAGCCGAGTCCAGGGCACCGTCATAGCCTTGTACACTCTCGGGGCCCTCTTTGGTGCGCTTTCTTGCATCGTCCTTGGCGACAAGCTCGGACGGAAGAGAACCATCATGCTGGGAGCGTTGGTTCACACACTTGGGGCTGTCATACAGTCTTCGTCCTACTCCCTAGGTCAATTGATTGTCGGGCGGCTTGTGGCTGGTCTCGGTTTCGGGGCATTGACTGCTACAGCGCCCAACTGGCAGAGTGAATGCTCAAGTGCGGAGCACCGTGGTTCCGTGGTCTTGCTCGAATCCGTCTTTATCAGCTTCGGCCTGGCTCTACAAGGATGGATCGGTTTTGGCATTTCGCATGCCTCTGGGAGCGTCGCCTGGAGATTTCCGTTGGCGTTGACGGGCTTGTTCTCCATCATTGTCGTCGGAACCATGTCCCAAATGCCAGAATCGCCCCGATGGCTCATCAAAAAGGGAAGATTGGAAGAAGCTAAACATGTCCTCGCCGCGCTGGAAGACCTTCCCGAGGACTCCAACAAAATCGAGACCGATGTAGCGCGCATCGAGGAGTCCCTGCGACTTACCGGTGCAGCTCGCTTCCGAGACATCTTCAAGAACGGCGAGCAGCGTCTGTTCCATCGAGCATGCTTAGCAGCTGCGGGCCAGGTCTTTCAACAAATGTGCGGCATCAATGCGCTAGCATTTTATCTGCCGACGCTGTACAGTCAGTACTTGAAGCTCCCAGCCAAAGACTCGCAGATTCTTGCTGCATCCGTCTTCTCGTTCCAAACTCTGTGTTCACCCATTGGTGTGCTCACGGTCGATCGATTTGGCCGACGCAAACTGATGATATTTGCGGCGGTGGGCATGGGATGCTGCTTGGTCATCATGACTGGAACTGTGTCTGATCCAACCAACGAGGCTGCTCAGATTGTGGCAGCTCTGATGATCTTTTTGTTCGGCCTGTTTTTCCCAACAGGTAATGCTTCCCGCTTCTTGGGTTTGCTTCAGCTAACATTCTGCAGGCTTTTTGGGTCTCACCTTCTTGTATGCAAGCGAGATCGCGCCTCTCAGTGTTCGAGTGCCAATCACCAGTATTTCGACGGGTACAGCATGGGCGTTCAACTTTCTTGTCGCCGAGATTACCCCCGTGGGATTTGCAACCCTCAACTACCGATACTTTATCATTTACGCCTGTATTAATTTGTTGTTGATCTTGCCTTGTAAGTATTTTCATTCTGACAATGACACCAGTCAGCTAGTCTTTTGGATTTTTTTGCTAACATAATGGCACAGGTGTCTACTTTTTCTGGCCGGAGACGGCGGGTAAGTCTTTGGAAGAGGTGGACGAAATCTTCATCCAAAGTCACAGCATTTTTGACCCAGTCCGAGTGGCGAAGCACATGCCCCGGCGACGGGTTGAACCGGTGCAGCAGGTCATTGAGGAAGGTAAAGGAACTCGACAAACCACCGTGGTCGAGAGTGAGAAGGGCACCGGAGCTCCCAGTGAGTAGGCAGGTGACGGCAGGGAGCCCGTTCCAGCGAGCAAGCTGGTCGGCGTATGAAGGCGGAATCAATATTGATCGTGCTGGAAGTCTCTGCTGGCTTATTCCTGTGGTATCAGAGCCGAAAAGCTGCAGATCATGCGGAAGGCAGAGAAAGGCTGTGGTAGAATAGGTCGCTAGGACAGGTCGTTTGAGAGAGATAGAATGAACTGAGTCTTACAGCAAACCTTTCTGGTCGATTGTGGTAGCAAACCGTCAGGAACTTTCGCCGCACTTTCATCAGGAGGCTCATGGGACAAGATACATCCTCTTTGACAGTTCGGAGGTTGGATGTCCAGGGATGTTACAGCAGAAACCAGGAGACTCGCAATGCAAAGGTGGAGAAGATTGGAATGACTGCCAAGACATGTAAAGACCGTTTATTCTGGTCACGATAGAGTCGCCAAAGTCAATCTTCCAACTCCCACAACTATCACTTCTGGAAGACCATCATGCCCTTCCAATCAGTCACAACCCATGAGCAAACTGGTGAGAATGCTCTGCTACTCCACTCTCCCTTCCCCCCAGGACGCCCTTGCGAGATGATCTAGGTTAGGTTGGGGCCCCGGGATTGCTCTTGGTCTTCGGAGTGCTCACTGTCCATCGGACAAGATGCCCGATCCCCAAACATGATCGGTCATCGAGGCCGAACGACAATGACAAGAGCGTTCCCGCTAATTCACCACTACCCCGGCCTGCCTGCGTCCCCAGCTCTGAGTTGGTCACTTTGAGGATTGAAGCTGCAGCAATATTGGAGAGCTGTCCTGGCAGCTCAACGTCGGCAGGGAAGCTCGGTCAACTTTGTGTCGGTCAGTGGATGCCGAAAAGACGGTGAATGGCCACATTGGCCGGGGGCAATCCCGTTCCTGGTGACAAAGACGAAGTGGCTGGGTTATGTCCTGGAGGAGTTGGAGAAATAAAAGGAAAAAGGAGGACGGGAAAGCTGTCTTCTAACAACACCCACCATGCGCTTCTCTCACCTCGTTGGTCTAGGGTTGGAGTCCCTCCTACTCGGCTTGTCGACTGCCCAGTCGACATCATGTGCTGACATTGCCGGGCAACTTGGTCATTCGACAACCTTGAGTATCGCTAATGCGAGCTTGGTGAATGGCCAGACCATTGCTCAATTCATAGCACAGTCTCTCAATACCACGGTTGTGCCGATCACGACTCTGACGGATGTGTGCCGTATACAGGGAGAAGTCGCATATGATCTCAACCACACTGTCAGCGTTGAGCTCTGGCTTCCCTCAACCAAGCAATGGAACGGCAGATATATCGCTGTTGGTAGGTCCAATGTATTTCGGCTGGTTTCGGACCATGTTTGCTAATGAGACAATGAATAGGTAACGGAGGATTGGCGGGAACGATTGACTATCAGGCTATGTTGACCCAGCTCGAAGCTGGTTTCGCCGTGGCTGGGGGAGATTCTGGCCATACCTTGGCTGAAGATGGGCCAGCCGTTGCATCGCCTGGCTCATTTGTGCCCTTTTTGAACAGCATCCCACAAGTGACGGCCTGGCTCCACAATTCCATCGCTGCCCTGACGCCGCCTACCCGCCAGCTGACAACACTATACTACGGCAAATCGCCATCTTATTCCTACTATTACGGTTGCTCGACAGGCGGCGCGCAGGGATTTGCGCTCGCCCAATATCATCCTGAGATGTTTGACGGAATCTACGCCGGTAGCCCTGGAAACTGGTACAGCCACTTGATTCTTAGTTTCCTCTGGAATTACAACCATGCCCAAGCGCAGAACGCCTCGTTCATGGACGCAGAGACCTTGAACTTCGTCACGAACGCGACAGTGGCTCATTGCGATGAAATTGACGGTGTGCGAGACGGTCTCATCGAAAACCCCCTGAAGTGCACCTTCAACATCACGACTCTGCAATGTGGCCAAGGTCAGGAGCCCAAGGCCAAGAATGGATCTGTTCAGTGTATCACTCCGGAACAGGCCACCACATACAAGGCTTTCCGCCAAGGGCCCACAGA